TGGGAGGGACCACCAGCCGACCATGGCTGCTGCTCAGATGAGGCGATGGTTCCAGGCAACGCGTGTGGGAGCAGCCTGACCTTTGGCTCACGCGGATCCTGCACTTGCCGCCTTCTGGCTTAACCAGCGTGCGCCTGGGCCGTGCAGCGCCGGGGCAGCGCTTGGTTTATTGCGCTGTGGCCGTGGTGTCTCTGGGCATGTCGCCTGTGCGTGGAGGGCTGCAGCCCAAGGCCGCTCACGCACTGGGAGCTTCCCTGGGGGCAGGGTGGTAGATGCGTCGAGGGCTTTAATAAACACATCGCGAGCCCTTCACTGGGCTCAAGCAGCAGGAGTGTAAGAGAAAGCACAAATTCTCGTGGATTAAATTATTGTGTCGTAATTAGCTGAACTCCCTTCGGTTTCCAAGTCCCTGCTCCCAAACGTGGGATGCCCAAGGGGTGCAGAGCGTGACTTCTTGTCTGGTGGCTGCAGCAGACAGGCGGCTGCAGTAGGTCCCCGCGCGCCCTCCGATGGCCTCGGGTCTGCACAGAGACAGAGGCAGCGCCTCGTCTGAGGAGCATCCACCCCCCTCAGCTGGATTTGCCCTTCTCTATTGGTTAGAGTTTGGAATTGGTTAGAATGCAGAAAAGTATGCCTTTGTATGTGTGCATTACAAAATAAGCCTCTTTCCAGCAAGGTTTTCCTTTAAATGACAGTATTTTAGAATCTGCTGGTAACCAACCTGCTTCTTTTCCCATACCTACAGAACTGTAGTTTGTTTTTTAAGAGTAATTTGATAAAGCTAGTTCTTGGCTGCCTTTTTTTTTTAGTCTCTCAAATGGTATTTAAGCACTAATTCTGGAAAAGTGTGTTGGTTTATATTTCCTTTTTAATTGAAAAGTTGCTCTTTTTCTAATCACTTGTGATAACTTGATTTCCGACTCTCTTTCAAGTGCTAATATTGGGCTCTCCTGCTTCACCTTAACTGTGCAGTTTGAACAGGCTTTTTTCTCAGTACTGATTCAGCAGAGATATTCAAAACCTATGCCATATGCGTGGTGTTTATGGGGCACACCAATAGAATGCTGGTTTTTCTCACGCTTCTGCAATGAGGGACAGGAGCAGGAAAAAGAGTTATGTGTCTGAAAGGAAAGTCTCATCTGGTTGACTGTTGATGGAGGTTCCATTTGCCATGAGCTTGGCGCAGACTAGACAGGGCGCTGCGTGGAGCCTTGGTTTAAAAAAAAAGAAAAAAAGATTTAAAAAAGTATTCTGAAGTACTCTATTGAGTGGCAGCTAACGTCAGTGGTTTTGTGCTGTGTAATGCTAACATTGTTTAGCTGCCTATAGCTGAAAGCTGGAGCGAGTATGCTTTATGTTAAAATGATGTTTGTAAAATCTTAACATCTTCCCCTCAGTTCGGTAGATTTATCTGCTAATTTTCTACTTACTTTCATTCTTGTCCTGTGATTCCTGTTGCTTTATTGCCAAATCTCAGGGTTGAAGCTCAGGTTACCTAATGATTCATTCCTTCTACAGCTGCTAGCCTGGGAGTTTACCACAAAGGATTCATGGTAGAGCATCTCATAGGCAGGATAATACTGCGTTCAAATCCATCAGGCTGCTGAATTGAAGTGAATCCCACCTGTGTGTTCATAGGGTGCTGGCTTTGCAACCTGTTTGCTCCAGGGGTTAATTGCTCCTCACTCAGGGCGCTGCAGAAACCGAGGCTTGTTCTCTGGTCTGGGTGTGCTGTGCATCTCCTATCCCATTTGTGCTCAATAAAACCCAGAACAAAACCCCGACTCTGTGAACTCCCGGAAGCAGCGGTCCTTCCTAACACTGTGTCACAGGAGGAAGTTGCAAAACTCACTTCTTGCCATTCTTCTTTCCGACTCGGAGCTGGACACATCTTTACCTGGTAAAGCTTTTTTCTAGGGTTAGCACAAGTGCTTGGGCTGTCCGGCTGCATTCTTAGGCTGCTGCCTGCACTGAATATGTAGCAAAAACAGTGTTCTAACCAAAACCGCCTTGTTCTAGAGTTGCTTTTTGAGTGTGTGTGTGTTGGGGGGAGAGAAACATGTCTCCATCTTGGAAACTGCCTGTGAAAGAGAGTGATTGAAGAGTGATTCCCAGATTTTCCTCCCCCTCTTCGAAACTAACAGGTGGTAATGGGATTTGTTGAAGATTTTGGGTACTTGGGAGAGGAGAGGTGTTTAGGTAGCATGGGGAGGTGCAGACTGAGCACTGACCTCTATCTAACACAGCAGGAGGAAGCAGGATTCCTGAAGTCTATATCGCTGACCTCAGAAAAACGTGCCTATAACTGTGTTTCTTTGTAAGTGCCATAAATCTAGCATTTTTACATGAAAAAAATGGTTAAGTCTTTGTCTAATGATTCAATGAATTAACTGCAGGGAGGTAGAGCAGGTAATTTAATACATGCAGGTTGTGCCATGAGTTGCTTTTTCAGGTGGTGATACTGACTCATCCTGTATTGGGCATTTTGCAATAAGGAACTAAAATCAGTCACACCAGTTTTAGCACTGAAAAGCTAAAAACTGGTATTCAGTGTGTGTAAAGAATGGATTTATAACAGGAAGCAATCTTGTTCCCTCCAGTGGCTGGAGGGAGAGGGACGTGTCTATAGGGATTAATCTTGATTGTCTTGTAAATAACCAAAGTTGTCCTAGCCCCCGCTGTGCTGTGCGTGTGAAGGCACCGCGTGCTTCTTGCTTCAGCTCCTCTTTGCCCGTGACAAGGTGCAGCTCTAGCAAGGCGAGTGCGGGCTTCCAGCCTCCGTGTCCAGCCGCTTCCCTGGTGCGGATGCCAAGAGGTGACCATGGACAGAGAGTTGAATCTTAATCTTTTGAGAATATTTAAAGATCCCAAGTGGGATAAAGTTGTCATGCTTAGGGCTCATGACATCCTCTGTGAGAGAGGAGTAAGGCATGTGCCTGTACTCAGAGCACTGTAAAAGCTGGCACACTTACCCTGGATGGGTGCCTGGAGGTGGGGAGAATAGCGTGCTTGATGTGTGCATGTGCTTGTACACGTTAACATTAAAATGCAAATGTAGGGATTTATTTCCTTGTCTGACACGTTACCATTACTGGAATAGCACTTAGGATGAACTTGTTTGGCATTTCTCATCTGCAGCATCTAACAAACCCTTGCTTCCTCTTGTAGCATTCTGTCTCTTCAAGACTGTAATGTTATGGCTTATGTCAAAGGATAAGAAACACCTTCCTACCAAAATAAGTGGAAAAATATTTTTATATTTTGTTAAAATTCATTTACCTGCACAAAATTTCAGTTTACTGGCAGAGACCAACATTGATTTTTCAACTTGATTTTAAACAACTCGAAAATTCACTCTTGTGGCTGTTAAAATATTTTACTATTAAAACTCTTGCCTTGGAGACTCACTGAGCCATTTAAATTAACACAGACGCTGCTGCTCTCGTTGTAGCGGGCGCCTCTCCTTCCCTTGCAGCGGAGGCTACCGAAGGATGTCGGCGATCGGGGTAGGAGCCGCCTGCTCCCGCCTGCGTCGCGGCGGGCGGCCGCTGAGAGGGGCCGTGCAGAAGCTGGGGGCCCTCGGCCTGCACACGGCAGCCCGGTGCGCTGCCAAGGAGTACTACGAGGTCCTGGTGCTGGGGGGAGGCACCGGGGGAATCAGCATGAGCGCTCGCATGAAGAGGAAAGTGGGCGCAGCAAACGTGGCTGTTGTGGAGCCGAGCCAGGTAAATCCTCATGAGGTGTCAGTGTGATGAGAAGTATTTTACCTGCATGATCAGTTTGATCTGTCCTTGAATGATTTTAACTGTGGAGAGGAAGCCACTTGCTAGTCTTTAATGGCTTCTCATGAAATTTGTTGCTCCAGCCTAAAGCTATATCTGTATTTCCAGCTTTGTCCTGGTGATTTATGTAGTTTTTTTTTTTTTGTTAAGAATAAAGTGTTAGGAGAAAATTGCTTCCTGTTTGAAGTTCCTTCATCTTAAAGTCAAGTTAACAGTTCTTAAAAGTGCGTTTACACATTTATTTCAGACTCATTACTATCAGCCACTCTGGACCCTGGTTGGTGCTGGTGCAAAGCGACTGGCAGCTTCTGCGCGCCCAACTGAGCGAGTAGTGCCCCAAGGAGTCGAGTGGATCAAGTGTCGAGTTACGAGGCTGGATCCAGATAAGAACTGTGTTTGGCTGGAGAATAATAAAAAGGTAATAATGGCACAAAATTGTTATTCTGAATCTGTTGTTCAGTGTCATGAGTTGCCTGTCAACCTGCTGCAGGTCCCCATGGAGCTCTCTGATGGGGAGCGGCTGGGCAATTCACTTACTCTTATGGGAAGTACTTGATCCTAGGAGCTGTTCATAATCAAAATTGTTGTGGATAGCTAGATTGGAGTAACATCAACTCATGATATTGTCATCATAGTGCATTTCCCTCTTTATAGTGATCTGAACAGAAAAGGTAGTTTGCTCCAAATGATTGGTTTCATGTGTAGCAAAGATGGTGTGTATAACTCTTCATGCAGTTAATATTGTAACAAATTACTACAGGCTTAATGTTACTAATATTCCCTACATCCCCTTCCCTTGTAACTATTAAATGTTCTCAAAAAAACTTAAATGTACTTCAAGGTGATGTTTTATCTAAAATATTATTTTTCCTTGCATAACAGATATCTTACAAGTATCTGATAATTGCCCTTGGGATCAGTCTGCATTATGAAAAGGTATTTGGTTACAGTAATCATGTTTTTACGACTTTTAATGACATCACATGCCCTCATGAGTCACTTGAATGATCTGGTACAGGTACAGGAAGCTGGGCACTAATACAAACTAAAGAGCCAGAGGACAGCCTAAAGAATGTAGTGTGCCTCTCCATAGGCCTGGATGTAATAATCCAAATGACTCTTGGGGAGCTCCTTTAAGATGGCTGTTTAGTCACTGTGGCAATAGTGGCTGATGGGGGCAACAAGCTGAATCTGGAACCCAACGCAGTCTCTAGCAGTGACATGGGGAGAGGGGTATGGTGGCTGCAGTCCAAAGCATCTCCTGTGTAAACAGAGATGAAGAAAATATCGCAGTTGGTAGAACCTGCTGTGCCTCGGTGATTTGCCCTGTTCTCCGCCACGTTTTCCAAAAGAGCCAGCTGCATTATTTAAGCAAGCTATATTTAAGTAGATCCTGGGCCCCTTCCTGTCCGTTAGGATTCTGCGCGTTTTACAGTGGCACACAAAGGAAAATATTAATATGGTTGTATTGAAGCAGACATTCCTTTAGCAATACATAGGGGGAGAGAAACACAAAATACACATTTGAATAATTCGACTCTAGTGGTTTAATCTGACCAGAATATAGTGTAGTTGCTAATAGTGTATTTGAGCATCTCTTTGAATAGTTCCCAAATTGCTCATTTAATTAACTGTCACCACAGTGAGAATTGCGCTGTAGAAATCCCTATACAGCACAACCTGGGAAAGCTCAATTCAGTATTCCATGGAGGAGGCCATGTAACACATTTAATCACTGCTGCTCCATAGCTAAATCTGCTAGTGAATAAATTCATAGTAACAGACTTTTGATTTTAAAAGCCAAGTGCCTAGTTTAATGGTTTCTCTTAACTGTATCTTCATCAACAGCATACTTTCTGGTATGGAGTGTAATGTCCCAAACACTCTGCAGTGCATATAACATGAATCAATTTTCTCACCAATGTTCTGTAACCCCTGGCTTTGCAGACAGGTGACTCCATTTCTCAGAGACCACTCAGGCACAGTAGTACTAAGGAAATAATTAATGGACAGAGTTCAACAAAATCAGAACACCTTAGGAAAAACAGATATCTGCAACTTACTATTGAAGAGCTTCATTCACCTCAGAAATGGCACCATGCCGTTTCTCTACAGTTTTCACTTATGCTGAAGTGGTACTGGCTTGATGCATCATTGCTCCTAATTTCATATTTTTTTTTACAAACTGGTTTGGTCTGGTCTGGTTTTAAACTGACCACTTGAAATACCAACCTTGCAGACCCTTGCTGGTTCAGTGAGTGTTACATCTACTAAGTTCTAATGGAAATCTCTTGGATTGATTGGTAGACTTATTTCAAAAATGCCAACTAGCTAGTGCATATAGACTTTCTTTTTCTCAGAGGCCTTTTAAATAGCTGTTTCTCAGGTATGCATTTAATATTTGAAGATGAACACAAACTTTCCACCAGTATTTTAAACTTTAATTTTACTTTCTCAGATCATAACTTTTTATTTGATACTTGAAAACAAAATTCTTGCCACCTGTATTTTAAAACCTTATTTTTATTTTCTTAGATCAAAGGCTTGCCTGAGGGTTTTCATCACCCTAAGATAGGTTCCAATTATTCAGCTCACACAGTAGAGAAAACGTGGAGAGCTTTGCAAGATTTCAAGGAAGGAAACGCCATCTTCACTTTTCCAAACACTCCAGTGAAATGTGCAGGGGCTCCTCAGAAAATCATGTATTTATCAGAGGCCTACTGGAGGAAAGTAAGTATTTTACCGTCTCTGCCAATGCTTGTTCCTACAGCTGGAAAGAGACTTATTTTGAAGAGTTTATACTTTATTTAAAATAAATGAAAACCACACAAGAGAAATTTTTAAATACATACACTGAATGTATGTAAATATTTAGCACATATTTAATATAGGGGAAACTTGTAGGATTTAGGATTCATACAGAATTAACTGCTTACCCTACTACCTGTGGGTAGAGCCAGCATTGTTCTCAGCATAACGTAAAGCTTTAGGAACTGCGTAAAAATCCTGGGGGGGCATTAGGTCATTCTTGTTACTCCACATCCCGAGCGCAGAACGTCTGCTGCTGCCTGTCTTTATGCCAGTCTGCAAAGGGCTCTGCATGCTCCATGTGGCACTCGGTCTCGGTGCCAAAGTGAGTTTTGTGGAGGCAAACACCAGCCTCCGGCGGATGTGTCCCACTTCCTACGTTCTAGGCTGTGTGAGCTGTCTGCTGGCAAGAATCTGAGGAACACACAGAACTGCAGGTCTCAGAATGCTGTGTGATTCTGAGCCAACGCTTAACCTGCACGCAGGAAGGTCGCTCGGGCAGTTGCAAACACCTCTTCTCACAAGCACTTCTTGCTTGTGAGAAGTTTGAACTCAAGATTAGCATTAACATGAACTGAAACACCTGCATTTCCAGCATTCTGCTATTAACGCTTTATTCCATAATTGAACTGCACTAATAGCTTTACTGGCTCTTCAGTAGCATGGCACAGTTCTCAGTTCCTGATGGTTCTGCTAGCTTATCTCACCTTCTAGGCAGGAAAAGGCTAATCTGATCTTTCTTATCTTTCTTTGCAGACAGGAAAACGATCCAAAGCGAACATAATGTTCAATACTTCGCTTGGCGTCATTTTTGGTGTTAAGAAGTATGCTGATGCATTGCTGGAAATAATAAAGGAGAGGAATATTACTGTTAACTATAGACGCAACCTCGTTGAAGTTCGAGCAGACAAGCAGGAAGCTGTGTTTGAAAACTTGGACAAACCAGGAGTCACTGAAGTTCATCAGGTTAGGAGCTTTTGGACCTCTAATCTGATTCTATTTATTTTCCTTATGTATACTAAAACATAACAACCACATTATAATAACAATATATATTGCTCCATTGTATATGTTATTTGCTTCCTTGGCAAATGTTAGTCTCTTAACTTCAGCTGATGAGTCAAACGCTAGGAATTCAAGTGAACAAAAAGAGAGAAAAAATATATATGTATATATATTTCAGGAGCCCTACACAGAGTTCTATGCATATTGTTAATACAACTGAGGAATATCTCAAGATAAGGTTCATGTTAATGAAGAATTCTGCAAGGGTGAATGTAAGATTTGAGAAAAATATTTTTTTCCCACTATCTATGCTAGTGTAAAAACAAACAAACAAAAAACCACCCTCTTCATAGTGTTCTCATTGCCTTATAACAGCACAGGTAAGATTTTCTCTGATAAACAGTTCATATTTATTTTCATGTATCTTTATTTTCTGTCTAGTATGAAATACTGCATGTCACCCCCCCAATGGGACCACCTGATGTGCTCATTAACAGCCCTGTCTCCGATGAAACTGGCTGGGTAGATGTAGATACGGAAACTCTGCAACATAAAAAGTATCCCAATGTATTTGGTATTGGAGACTGCACCAACCTTCCAACATCAAAAACAGCAGCAGCTATAGGTAAAGTGTGGGGAGGTGTGTGTATAATGCAAAGGCTGGGAGTGGCAGAATGCTGCTTTTAAACCAGACAGATTAAATATTATTTAGTTTGTTACTCTGAGGTCTGGATGTCAATTCTTCTCATCTTTCAAAAAGACCTAGATCTCCTGAGCCAACCTCCGTAGTACAGTTAGTGAGGTGCCAGCATAGTGACACTATTAACCCAGAGTTGAGTGCTCTTCTACATGACTCACATTTGAGTTACTTCTAGTTTCCCTGTGTGCAGAATTGCATAAAGTGAATGTAATATTCCCATGTTCATTACTTAGTAAAAAAAACTTCGTGCTCTATCTTAGAAGCTCACACGTTTATGTCAGCCAGCTGATAAGTCATTCCTGAAGAATCACGTGTTCAGTACTTGTTGCCACAGGATCCAGTATAAAAGCACTTTAGGCATGTTGTACCAGAACTTAAAAACAATATAAAATGTAAGGCTGAACATGTGTGTGCATGCATACAGAAAGGCCATAGCCTGTTTGTTATAATACTTGTGTCACTCCAAGAAAAGTACATTGAGCTCTTCCAGGAAATGAGGCTGGAGTGCTTCGCTTGCAGTGGTAAAAATGTAACAAAACAAACAAAACTTCAGTGCTCTGTGTTTGGGAAGACTGAGCAAGCATGCTTTGGCATAGCAAAACTCCTGCTAAAGCTATATAGCTTAAATTTTGTTAAGCCTTTGCATGATGGGAACAATAAAGCCAAAGCATTATTCCAATATGGAATTTTCCATATGTGATCCTTACCTGGGATTGTAAAGTTCACAAATGGCTTTGAAATAAAAGTTCAGTTACAGTCGACTTAGCAACACGCCCAGCTATTATTGTTTGCTCTAGTGCTGACAATAACTACAATAATTTTGCCTGTAGCAAAGCCTTAATTCGATTGTCTTTATCTTTCATGTAGCTGCCCAGTCTGGAGTGCTTGATAAAACTATCTCCATGGTAATGAAGAACCAGTTACCAACTAAAAAGGTACCTAGAGATCTTCTCTTAGGAAAAAGTTACCTTGAGTATTTTCTCCACTCTTATGGGGGAGGAGTCTTGCTAAGCAAGAAGTTAACCAGTGTAAAGTGAACAGAAGGGGCTTTGTTTCAGGAATGTGAGTGCTGAAGAACTGGCTAAGTATTGTACGTAATAGTCGTTTAGTGGCGTAATTCCCGTCCTTAATGCTGTCTTTAATAATACTATCAGTGTAATTTATTGATTTGAGTTGTCAGCCAACTTAAACATGTACCCTTTTCTGGAAAGGCAAGGCTGATAAGGCTGGAATTTTCAATAATACAAGTGACTTATTCAGAGCAAAACTGTTGATTAACTACTACCCTCCATTCTTTGGGGAAAAGATTGCAAATTTTACACATCTGCGCTACATTCAGTTTTTCTCCTCTGTGTGGAACTGTACCAGCTGAGGTGGAGCTAAGTGGAAGCAGCTGTTCTGCCAGTGACCATGAATAGTTTCTCTCATTTTATGTACAGCTTCTGACTTAATTTTTCTGAGAATACTAACCTGAATATCACAGCCCTTACTGCTGTGATCGTCTGCAAGTTCTTATGACTATATTCAAAATTGTGCTTATATGCTATTAAATTAATCTAATACCAGCTCATCCTAGTTTAACCGGTCACCTATTCTGCTGGATATAAGAATACCTGGCAATTAATGAGACAAATCTCTACTGTTCTAGATCAGTACTAATACTGGTAGTGCTGCTAAGCAAATGCACAACCTGCATTCAAAAGACAGTGTTTTGATATTATGGTTATTTTGCCTAACTGGCCCAGCAACCCCCCAAAGATTGCTACTATTAGTATACACTTTTTCTTTTTCCTATTTTAGTGGTGTGCTGATGTAGAAACCTCCTAGAAACTGGCTTTGAACTATGAATGCTAATCACATAGCTTGTGATATTTCAGCCTGTGGACTTTACTCACAATGAGATGGGCATGTGCTTTATTGCAGTACGATGGCTATACTTCCTGCCCGCTGGTCACTGGCTACAACAAGGTGATTCTGGCAGAGTTTGACTATGCTGCTCAGCCCCTGGAGACGTTTCCCGTTGACCAGAGCAAAGAGAGGGTAACCATGTACCACATGAAAGCCGATGTGATGCCCCTGCTCTACTGGAATGCCTTACTCAAGTAAGTCTGGGCAGGTGGTAATTCATACAGAACAGAGCCAGATACAGATCTCTGCTCTGGCTTGAAACTCCTCACTAGGAAAGCAGCAGTTGCTAGATGTGCAGGGCATACTGCACTTGTGCTTAGTCTGGGGCTTTCTCAGGGACTTTGGCACTTTTGCTCATAGAAAGGAGTTGTGGAAGGAGAGAGACTGGGGCTGACTTATAAGGGGCCCCTCCTGCCTCCTTTACAACAGCAGAGCTGAAGCAAAGATTGCTCTACAAACCCCGCCCCTCCTTGCCTCCCTGCCCCTGGCCATGTGTGCACATGCAGCTGGTTGAAAGCTTCTGCTTTTCTAGGGGCTACTGGGGAGGACCAGCTCCTTTCAGGAAACTGATGCACCTGGGCTTGAAGTAAGGGATGGTGCTGGATGCTAGGCACCACTTTTGAAGAAAAACAACCAGCTGCTGAATGGATCACTAGCTCTCCTTGCTCTTGGCCTCCTTTATAGGTAACTGATTTTTTTTTTCCCCTAAAAGAGGGTTTAAGCCTTGCTCTTTTTCTTACCACTCGTCTACACTCTTACATCAGTGCCTTACAGTGCTTTCAACTGCACAGCGCAGTTTGAAGAAAACTGTAGACTTGCCTTGAACTAGAAGCCACTCCTGGAATCTTGTGCTGCAATCATTCAGTTTAAAGCTGTTATATTATGTAACTCTACATATACATGACCCTAAATGGTGTAGCCTGGTTGTAATCAGTGTGCACTGGATTTAAATAAATGTCAGTGAAGCGGTCTGAACAGGCTCCTGTTCTTTCATTCTTGAGAAAATGACTTAAGCTGCACGTAAAGCCAATGCTAGTCTCAAGCACAAATTAAGACAACATGAGAGGGGGAAATGATTTTTTTTTAATTATGACCTCCTTTAACTGCGTTTCAAGGGAAGATTGAACAAGAGTTAGAGTCTTCACAGAAGCTGGAACTTTAGTGGTGGTCAGGTACACAATCTTGGAGCAAACAGGAAGCTTCTTCACCCACAAGGACCAAGAGCAGCTTATTTCTAAACAAAAAATATGAACATTTCTAAGTTAAAGCTTTATGCTTTTCTAAGTTAAAGCTTTATGCTTTTCACCTTAGCCTTTAGAAATGGCTATGTATTCATTTAAAATTACACCACTGCCTTTCAGGTATAGTGATAAGGATCAACATGTACCTGCACATTAAGTAGTTCTTCAATCTTGTTCTGAATCTGTCCATACACCTCATTAAACAGTTCCTCCTTGGACTTGGTTCCATTCAAGTGTACTTGAAATAGGAATGTTAAAAGGGGGGGGAGAAAAAAAAAAGCTTCAGTCCCTCTCACTTGACCAGAATATTTATGCCAGGTTTGAAAAGCACACAGTTGTGTAACAGTGCTTTTGTCAGTAAAAACTTACCCACATCAACTCCAAGATCTTCCATTATCTTCCTGTGCTTTACATACATAGGCCAGACATGGCCATCAAACAATCCAGGGGGATCTGGTACAGTGTAGTTTCTTGAACTGTATTAAGACAGTATTGTACATAAGTAGCCTAATTACAGTTTTATTAGAGTGTTCATAAAGCATGCAGTTTCTCTACTCTCTAGACCAACCACCTTATCTATTCTCTGAGTTTTAACCTGTTTCATTTGTAAATAAGAACACTATGTGTACGACAATCTAGCCAAGTCTAAAACCCCAGGATAGATCAAGCTGTAGAAACCACAATCATTGGAAAATGAGAAAGCTATTCAATCTGCTGAATTTGAACACTAGTCTGAGGTATACAGGAGGGTGGCAGAGTACTTAGGTGTTTGTTCAGTGAAGGAAGCTATAACTCACACAGCACCTACCTCAGTGTTTATCCTTTCTCATCTTTAAAGTCTTTAAAGAGAAACTGTATTCCTGGTTTAGGAGAGGCGCTTTTGAAGATGAACTTACCTTCTTCTCCTTTTACATTCTTCATATGGAATGGAAAGAAAGTACCGATGGTGGAAAACATCGATCAGTGGCCTGAAAGAGTAGGTATTTTAAGTGGTTATGGCTAGCCTATGGGATTAGTAGTAAGAAATAGAAAAGCTCCGTCTGTTTCCTCTACTTAGAACTATCTTCAGACTTGTGACACAAACTCACCACTACCCTGTATCAGCTGCTAACTACTGCTTTAGAACAGGACTTTTTATTCCCTTGAAGGCTAATCTAGGTTATGTAAAAAATATAAATAAACAGAAAAAAAAATCATGAAATGCAGTGATTACCTGTAGGTGTAAAGCAGGAAGCCTTCAACAATAAGAATGTGGATGGTGTTATCTCCTCCCTCTGTGTCTTGCAAGACTGGGGCATCCAGGGTGTTATTAATCCCATGAGAGCGTTCAAACTTGACTGGGTTTTTTATCCAAGCGTTTATGGTACTCATCATTGCTTCCATGTCCAGTGCACTAATCACTAAAGCAAAACACACAGCCACCAGTAAATAGTAATTAAGAATTTGAATCAGCATTAAAAAAATTGTACTAATATTAGAATCGCTACAAAAAATGCACAAAAATAATACTCAAGTAGTCTTGGAGAACTACAGTTTGATACCATTGTACAAACGACTTACCATCATACTGTTTAAACCCATCTTCAACTTCTATTTCATCTTGAGGCTGAAACAAGCACAGAAAAGCAGCTCGGTGAGCGCCGCTCCTCGGAGCCCAGGGCAAGCAGGGCCTGGGG